CTGTATTTAAATTAACACACATGTCGGGTGTTACATAACCGATAACCTATCCCCAAAGCACATCCAGGTCTGTTTCTATATTAAGGTGTTAAGTCACTTACCACCGTTGGGCAGCAGCATGCTGGGCTTTGAGCAGCGGAGAGTTTGGGGTGGGACAGAGGAAGCCGGGTGGGCCAGGGGAGTGGGCAAGCGGGCAGGTGGCTGTCCTCCGCCTGAGCCTGAGGTCACCCTGCCTGTCAGGAGCACCTCTGGGCTCATGTCCCCCAGGCGAGGAGCTGCTGGGGGGAGGCCACGGCTTTCCGGCTGGGCCAGCACTTCCTTTCACATGCTAATCCGCCCCCCAGCTCCTCCTCCAGCCACTCCAGGGCCAGGGCCTTGCAGTCGCAGTGAGGTTTTATCTGGGGGGCTGGGAGGGGACACCCGGGACCTGGCCTCTGGACCACTTCCTGCAGGCACTTCCCTAGTCTCTTAAAGATGAAAAGCCCTTCTCTAGACCTCTCCTCCTATCACAGGGTCAGGTGGATGGTGAGATTCCCAAGGACGCTGAGATGGGTGGGCTTCAGAGCGGCCGAGGGCAGGGCCCTTCACCGCAGTCTGCACCTTCCACAGACACAGATGGCTCCTGGTCTGAACCCTGCTGTCAGCTGGGGCCTGGCGGTACAGAGCTAGCGAGGCAGACCTGTGTCCCCCGCCTACTTCACGCCTTAGCACCTGTGCCGCCACAGCAGGGAGGGTTGAGGGAGTCCAGCTAGGGCCTTCTCTTGTGGGCAGTGGGGACAGTGACCCCAGCAGCCAGGCTTGCTGTGAAGATGGACCTGGGCTGGGCACAGTGGCTTATGCCTATGATCCCACCACTCTGGGAGGCTGAGGTGGGAGGATCGCTTACAACCAGCAGTTTAAGACCAGTCTGAGCAACATGGTAAGACCCCATCTCTGCATAAAAATTTAAAAATTAGCCGGGCACAGTGGTGCACCCCTGTAGTCCCAGCTACTCGGGAGGCTGAGGCAGGAGGCTGATCTGAGCCCAGGAGTTGGAGGCTGCAGTGAGCTATGATGATGCCACTGCACTCCAGCCTGGGTGACAGAGCCAGACCCTGGCTCAAAAACACATAAATAAATAAATAAATGAAAGATGGACTTGGCACATGGGAGCAGCCCCGAAAGCAGAGGACCCGGAGGCTGGTGCGGCCCTCAGACTGCTCTGAGGCTGCGTGGGCGCCCATTTGACTGGACCACACAGTTAATAAGTGGGTCCTGCACCCTGACCCCAGCACGAGAACTCAGAGGTGGACACACAGATGAGTGCCTGCCCCCAGAGGCCCATCTCAGATCAGGGGCGTGGCCGCCATGGGCAGAGGAGGGGACAGAACCACAGCAGAGCAAGAGGCCTCCCCATCCTCTTGTTGAACTCGGCATGGGCCCTGCAGGTCCCGCCAGGATGGACGGAGCCAGCTGGAGCCGCCAACATTAGGAAGGTGAGCCTGGGTCAGCTCGTCCACCAGTGCCGAGACCCACATGAAATGCCAGCAAGCAGGTCCCTAGGTGGGAAGCGTGGGCATGGGCCCCAGACACAACCCACTGGGAGGGGATCACACCCCCCCATCACAGGCAGATGCTTCTGTGGTACCCAGTCAACAGCTGCTGCAACCACACACCCATGGGCAGGCTCTGCCCCTTGGGTCCCTGGTTACAGGAGTGCCTAGTCCACAGGGTCAGCTGGCTGGTGGGCCATGGAACACAGAACTCCTGGTATGGGCTCCTGGGACCCGGACCCCGTGCTGAGGTGTGCCAGATGCAGGTGGCACCCTGCCCAGAAGAACACTCTGCTGGAGTGTGAACAAGTGTGTCCTGGATAATCCACAAAATGGAGAACTGGAAGTTGGCCCTTCTCCCAGGCAGCCTGGCCGTGGGCCATACCAAGTGGAAGGGGGAGTGTGTACTGGAACAGACCACTGGCATCCCCCTGGTCACTGCCCTTGCATGGTACTCCAGGGTCCTAAGATAAAGGGGTGGCAGGGAGAGGCAGAGGGCACGCCCCTCAGAGACACCCCGGACGGAGAGAGGCGAGTCGTTGCAGACAGGCAGGGCCAGAGGCGGGAGGCTGGTCTGAGGAGCCTGTGGCCCACAGGGCCCTGCCTCAGTTTATCCCTTATGTGAAATGGTAGGCACAGGGAGAAAACGGGGTGTCGTGGTTGCAGGTGTGTGCCCTGCAGGTGTCTGTACATGTTACTAGATGGGCGCTGAGTTCACACCAGCTTGGGAAACAGGGCTGCCTCAAACTGAAGTGTGCAGAACCCTGGCACGGAGCATCTTGTGGAACCAGCATCGCACATGTCGCATTCTAGTCGTCACCTGTTTGCTCTCAGGGGAGATGGGGCCTCCAGACATTAAGTGATTAGCATGATGGGGTTTTGGCAAACTGGGATAACAGAGTCTGGAAACAGCCCTAAATCCAGCACACATAAAGGCAGTACTTCGATGGGGTAGAGGACTTTTTATGGAAAACAGAGTTGGAGCAAACAATTTTGGAGGAAAAAAAAAACTTTGCTTCCTACTTCACTCCTTACCAGAAGTACTTCCTAAAATTAAATTAAAAAATGTAAAAAAAAAAAAAAATAAATATATATATATATAAAGAGAAACCATTATATTTGTAGAAGAAAATTTCAAATGGTTTATAATCTTGGAGTGGAGAAGGTATTTCTAAGCACGACACAAAAGGCAGATGTCATAGTCACAGATATGCCATAGTCACAGATATGCCATAGTCACAGATAGTGACCAATTGCGATTTTAAATGCCTAGCTAAAAAACAAAACAAAACCACAAAGTCAAAGACTAAAGACAGATAGGAAAAAACACTTTTAACAGACAAAGGACGAATTTCCTTAATATGTAAAGGGCACCGAGAAAACAACCCAATAGGAAAATGAGCAAAGAATATTTAATACAAATGGCTTAAAAACATGTAACTGTTTACAATAAACATACATTTTTCCAATTTCAAAATGATCATTATTAGTGGTAGAAACAATCAACATAAATCTGACACAGCGTCAAGACATCAGATTGTACTTACAGGAAATACAAATAGAGCTACAATGAAACAGTATCTTACGCCTACCAGGTCTGCGAAATCAAGCCTGGGCAGGGAGACACCAGAGCCCTCCAATGTCGGCAGGGCAGGGCTACTTAAAGCCCTAGACCTAGCATTTCTGCTCCAAGGACTTTATAGCCTACAGAAATATTCCTGCTTGGGTGCATCCGGTCAACCTGGCATTGTTTATGGTTACAAGAGACTCCAAAGAACTCTAAATTTCTACCAACAGGAAACGGGGTAAGTAAATTATAATGCTATAGATCGCTGTTTAAAATAGGAATCCGGTCTATACATCTGCATGTACAAAACGCTATTCAAGCTATGGGAAGTAAAGGAGCCCCAAGGAAAGTGACCCACCTTTTGCAGAAACACAGGTGAATGTAACTGCATAGACTTTCTCGGTGGACACGTAGGAAAGTGGCTTCTCTCTACCCAGGGGAGGACACTGAGCCTGGGAAATTAGGGATGGGAAGAATCTTCCAGTGTCCACCAAATGCTTTTTGTCAGGGCCCCTGAGCTGTTTACTCCGCGTACCTGGAAACATTTCTGTTCCAACGCAAGCAGCTGCTTGGACTCGCCGCACGGAGAGAGTCCCCAGCTCTCGGGAGCTAGCGTCCCTGGCGTCGGAGGCCCACAACGTGCTCGTGGGAGCCGGTGGGAGCCCCCCGGAGGGGCACGGCCAGGGCGGAGGGTGTCGGGGGAGAGCCGCGACGAGCGGCGCAAAGGTAGGGCACGCGCGGGCCGCCGGGCCTCGGGGCGCAGGCATCCTCCGCGACTTCCTCGCGTCCCGCAGCACCGAAAGGACCCCGGGGCCCCGCACAGGGCCCGGGGACGCGCCGCCCGCCCCGGGCCGGCCGCCCCCCGACCTCGGAGACGGAGGTGCGGGCCGCAGCCCGACCCCGCGGGCCGCATGAAGGCGTCGAAGCCGTTGGGGGCGGCCGGGCCGGGGCAGGGGAGCCCTGGCGGGTCCCCGGAGGGATCCGAGCGGCAGCCACTGACAGCCGATGCCACCACTCGCGCGCGCGCGGGCGCGCGACGCCACTTCCGCTTCCGTTCGGACCTAGGCCGTGCACGTGACGCAAGGCGTTCCCCGCCCCCAGGCTGAAGCACCGCCCCCTTCTTAAAGGAGCCGCGGAGCCCGCGGACCTCGGAGTAGGACTGGGGCTGGGGCGAGAGGGAGGCAGTTTTGGCTTCGCCGCCGCCTGATCCCCAGACACAGGCTGCGCCTCTGCCCACACCCGGGGGTGAACGACAGGCCACCGGTCCGCGAGCCCTCCCGCCGCTGGGGCTCCTGCCACGGAGGTCTCAGGTAGCCCTCCGGTATCTGGGGTCGCCTGCGACCCGCCCCTGCCCTGTCTTCAAGGGCGTCCCGGACGGAGGACGACCTAGCGTGTTGCAGGAGCGCTCCCGGGACCCCAGCTCTTGGGGAGATACTCGGACTTGCCGCTGTCCTCCTCCAGACCGCGGCTTCCCCGCTGCCAAGGAAGCGGCCCGGCCTCCCGGGGTCCAGGTGGGCTCTGTTGGCCCCTCTGCGGCGAGGACCCAGAGGCCCGGCGGGAAACTGTTCTCCAGGCTCCAGTCTTGATGGCAGCGAGCCTCGCAGGCCTCCCCTGCCATGGAGCTGCAGGTGCCGCGCCCTGGAGTCAGGGGACCTGGGTTCAAATGCTGCCCCCACCCTACCACCACCCAGGCAACCAGCCCCCTCCAGGGGCCCTTGGGACCAGACCCGGGCTCACCCCTCATGCGGGGAGAGTGACTTGGCATCTGCTTTGTAAAACCCATATTGGACGCGTGCTGATCTTCCCCGAGGACTGGGGGCGAGGTCGGGAAAGCCGGCTCCCTCTTGGAGCTCGCTGAGCCCAAGCGCGGACAGGAACCGCGAAATGAAAAAGAGGAATCCTAAAATTTTAAATCTTTAATTTCTGTTTTCAGGTTTGTCTTCTTTTTGCTTCCAAAAGGAGAGCATAACTCCATTGCCTGTACATCGTCCACAGCCCTTGGGCTGCGGCAGGGTCGCCCGCCGCCGGGAGAGTCCTGGGCGGCCCGGGAGGTCCACATGCAGTCCCCGGGGCGTCCGGGCGGGCGGCCGCCTTATTGCTGAGGTCCCGCGGCCGGGGCGCACCGGCCGCCACTAGGCGCGCTGGCTAGGCAGCTCCTGGGAGATGAAGCGGCGCAGGCGCTCCAGGTACTGGCTGTAGAGCTCGATGTCGTTGTGCCCGGCACCCTCCACCCACAGCGGCTCCACAGCCTTGGGGCAGCGCTCGTAGAGCGCCAGCCCGTGAGAGAAGTCAATCACCTCGTCCTCCGTGCCATGGATGATGAGCACAGGCGACGTGATTTTGGACACCTTCTCGATGCTGGGGGCGGCGGGAGGTGCGGGTCAGATTCCTGCGCCCTGCCTGCCCCCTACCCCTCCCTGCCGAGGCCCACCCACCCGGGGGCCCCGCCCCGCGCTCACTTGGGGAACGCGTCGAAGCAGTAGGTCTTCCTGGTGTCGGGAAAGGCGACGCGCATGCCCGAGGTCAGCGGCGAGTGCAGCACCACTGCCGCGCACTCATAGCGTGAGGCCAGGTCTACGGTGGGCACCGTGCCGATGCTCTGCCCATACAGGATGATGCTGTCCGGGCTGATGCCGTACCTGGCGGCGCCGGGGCAGGGTCAGCCGCGCCTACGCGCGCACACCCCTCCCGCCGGCCGGCTTCCCGTGCAGTCCTCCGTCTCCCCCCCTGCTCAGGGGGTCAGGCCGGCCCGCCGCAGCCCCACCTCACTGTCTCTACTCTGCTTCTTGGGCAGTATCTACCTGGACCACCGTGGGGAGTGCCCTTGGGAGGAGCAGAGGGGTAGGGGTAGGCTAGACCCTGGAGACCCTCCTGCTCCCCCTGGTCACTCCTAGGCATACACTCCACAAGAAGGGCAGACCTAAAAACATCTCACATCTACTTGAGGTCTTCCTGATTAGAAGGCCCTTCCTGGTGTACCTGCAGTGGGTAGGGGGGTCTTCCTGCCTGCACCCGTTCCCCAACTCCTCAGGTGTGGGGGGTTGAGGCAGCTGTGTTGTCATTGTCTGGTGGCATTTTAGGGTCCCTCGGAGCCCCCACGCCCAGAGAGGTGCTCAGTACCACACAGGCCAGCAGCAGTGGAGCCACCTCCTCCCAGCAGCACCTTCTCTCCACAGTACACAGGTCCTGGGCCCCCACCCCACCCCCCACCCTGCTCACCTGGCCCAGCAGCAGCTCCAAGGCCCCCATGCCCACTCCCAACTGCACGAGGACCCCCTCGCCCCTTGCGACGCAGGAGGGTTCTGAAGCTCTCCTCCCACAGGCTCCCAACCCTGATCCCAAGGAGGTGCCCCTCCTGGTGGACAGAGACCAGGGCAGGTCACATATCACGTGGGCTGTCCACCTGGGCATTCTCACTTCACCTTCCCACCTCAACCAGCAGCCTTATCTGTCCCTCCCCCTGGGCTGGACCCCCAGCTCCCTGACAGCACCTCATAGTTAGCCACCTGCCCACCCCACCCCCAAGGCATTGGGGATGCCACATGGCTCATGCCGCCCTGCAGCTCTGCCACCGCCTCTCGGGCCTGCTCCCCAGCAGCACAGGCACCAGACCAGGGTACTGAGCCAGCCCAGCCCTGCCACCCAGCTCCAGGCAGGAGTCCCCAACCGCCACCTGGACAAACACAACATGTCCCAAATGCAGCTGCTTCCCGCTCCCACCACCTGTACAGCTGCCGGCTGAGGTTTCTGGAGGACAACGTCGGCAGCAGGACACATGGACAGACAGAGCTCAGAGCCCTGCCCCACAGTGGGTGTGACTGCCAGTGCCCCTGGGCAGTGGGGCAGGGGGGGCAGGGGCAGGGAAGCCAGGCCTATGTGTCCCTGCAGCTCAGGACGCACGGTTGGCACTGGTGCCCAAGGCTGCCAGAAAGCCCAGGACCGATCCCCGCTCAGGGTGATGCCAGGGGACCCAGCTCCCAGGCCTGCAGCAGGGACTGCCTGGCGCATCACCACAGCAACCAGAGCCTCCACCACCACCTCCCCAGGGCCACCAACTCCTCAGAGCTGCACCTGGTCCCTGCCAGAGCGGGTCGGACCAGTCGGCAGGGCAGGGCCCAGACGGCAGGCAGAGAGCAAGGCACCGCCTCCGGTTGGGGGGGGCCAGCCTAGGAGGCCTGGTTCTAGAGCAGCACTGGCTCAGGCCATGCATGCAGGTTAAGGGCCGAGCAGGCGTGGGGTGGGAGGGGCTGCCCAGGGGCTGCATGACCAGGGGGCAGGGTCTGACCAGAGGGCGTGGAGTGGAGGCTGGCCCAGATCTCAGTGTGTGCTGGGGGCCCATACCCACTAACTTCCCACCAGTCACAAGGCCATGCTGGGCACTATGCAGCCTGCCCCACTCCTCCAGACCCTGCCCCCACTGCTCAGGGCCCCGCCCTGCCCAGGAGGAGCCTGGGCCCCACAGCCACATGCCCCTCAAGTGCTGGACTCCGGGACCTGGATGCAACAGCCTGGCCCCACCCTGCGTCCCACGTGCTCCCCGGCCCATGGGCTCCTGGCTGTCCTTTCATACCACCCCAGCACTCCCTCCCAGGCCAGCATCCTCTGCCCACCCCCTCCTGCCAGGTGGCCTCCACTCCCGTGGACAACCCCAGCCCTGACCCCAGCCCCTTCCGGCCCCGGGCCAGGGGCTCCCAGGAGTAACCCCAGCCCTGACCCCAGCCCCTTCCGGCCCCGGGCCAGGGGCTCCCAGGAGGAGTGGAGGGGAGGAGAGGCTGCACCCTGGGCAGCTGGGAGCCCACCTGTCCCACTCTCCGGCCCTGCACATCTACTATGGCTCACCTCCTGCAGGGCCACCCGCCCCCCTCTCTGGGGAAGCCGGCCTGTGGCACCAGGTTTGGGCCCCTCTCTGGGGAGACGCTCCAGGGGGACCTCTCTCCTGCCGGACCGCCCTCACCTGGTGCGCAGGGCCTGCCAGGCGGCGTCGATGTCGGCGTAGAGGTTCTTCTCCGAGGGTTTGCCCGAGCTCACACCGTAGCCAGAGTAGTCGTAGGAGAAGACATTGCAGTGGATGCGGGAGCCCAGGCCGATGTAGAAGCTGCACATCTGGCCCAGGTCCACCGCGTTGCCGTGCGAGAAGAGCACCGTGTACCTGGGGGCGGGGCAGAGCTGCTAACGTGTCCCTCCAGACCCCCAGCACCTGGCGGTGGACTCAGGCACAGTCCACCCTGGTGGCCAGCCGACACCCATCGCCGCATTCACCCCTCCCAAGAGGTGATGCAGCCAGTGAGGGGCGGGCAAGGGGACAGCCCAGCTTAGTCCTGAGGTGTCCCCACAGGGAGAGGACAGGAGGACTGGGAGGGGATGGGCCACCTAGGCAGCAGAGTGGCCCTGCTCCCCCTAGCTGTGTGGGCTGGCCAGCGGAGCCCCAAGATTCTGTGAAGGGGAACACTGGGACCCTCAGTCATGCTCTCAGCTCAGGGCAAACCTGCAGCTCAAGCTGAGCTGGCTGTGGCGGCTGTCACCTTTAACCCTCTGCACAGCGGCCTTCTCTGCCCGAGGCTTTCCTCCTGGAGGGGCCTTAATAGCCCCAGGATGTGTGTGCACCTGCCCATAGCTCAGAACTTTCCCAGAGAAGGTGGCACTGCTCTGTCGCAAGGCTCTCTGTCCTTCTCCAGGAATGATCCCTTTGCTGTTAGAGGACAGCTGGACCCCAGCCCTGCCCCCCGCAGGAAGCAAACAAATCCCCCTCACAGACAGGCCACTCTTCCCGAGTGGGCCCTTCTGCCCAAGTGCCATGGCCGTCCTGCAAGGCCTAGCCACTTCTCAGGGACAGGACCTGTCCGGGATCATGCCAAGAGCAGGCGACCAGCTGGCCCTGGCCATGGGCTGCTTCCTCTAGCACCACCAGGCCCAGCCCAGCTGGAAGGCAAAAGTTCGCACTTTGGACTCGGGTCTGGAGTCAGAACTCCACCTGGTACGAAGGCAGAAGCACAGAAGGCCAGAGCGGTCACCTCCCCGCCCCACCTCTGGCTTACGCCTGAGAGGACAGCCTGCACCAAGGAGGTGGCAGCCACCAAGGAGCTGAGCGCTGGGGTCCCCCAGGGGGCTGCACACAGAGGGGAACGGCAGTAGGGCCTGCGTAGCCGGGCAGAAGCCCTGGGTGGAACGAGGCCTGCTCTTGCGCAGATCTGGGCTGCTCCCTTTTTGGCAAGAGGACTCTCGAGAAGGACAAGGACAGGCTTGCAGAGGACGCCCACCCTATGCTGACCTTTCACTCTGGCTACGGCCCTCTAGGGGCCATCACTAACTACGCTGAGTGCCCCGGGCAGAAACGGGAGCCCCAAGAACAGTGCAGCCTGGGCCAGGTGCCCCCCCACCCCACCTCCGGCTGCTCACCTGGCACCAGGCACGCAGCGCACGTACATGCAGGAGATGCGGTTGCCGCGGGCACTCTTGGTCAGGAAGACCTCAATGGTGTCCAGCTCGCGCTGGTTGTACTGGAAGTCGGCACGCTCCGTCAGGTGGAGCTTCCAGCGCCCAGGGTTGCCCGAGGAGGTGCGCAGGGTCCCCGGGGGGGCAGCACCGGCCCCGCTGGACCCTGGCTCGGGCTCAGGCAGCAGCGAGTAGGTGGGCTCCGGTGGCAGGAAGGCGAGCTTGGCAGCGATGCGGCCGGGGCAGGGCGGGCAGCAGAAGAGGCAGCAGAGCTCGCTCACCGACAGGCCATTCATGGCGGGCACCGCCTGGCCTCACCCAGCAGGGGAGGGGTGGGGGTGCTGCGAGTCACGGGCAGGGGGGAGGGTGTCCCCCCGGCCACCGCCCCAGACAAGAGCCCCGTTAGGAGGCCACAGCCCAGCCCCATTGCGGTCCGAGCTGAGCCCCTGGGAGCCTCGCAGCCACAGGTCTCCATGTCGTGCAGTGGGAAACCCTGCAGGGGAACAGCAAGATATGGAGGTCCTTCTGGGGTGCCATGGTCACCTGCATCAGGTGCAGAGGTGTGGGCCTAAACCTTCTCCAGCCCTGATCATAGTCTCACCCTCTCCTGCCCAGACTGCTGCAACCCCCCAGCCCACCCCCAACGACCACACTCCCTGAGCTTGCAATCACCACCTCTTGCCACGTCGGGGATCACACCCCAGCCCCTGGCACACACCCCTGCCCTGGGCCCAGGGAAGCCCCCACCCCAGGCCTCAGTCCATGCTGCTGCCCAGACCCTTCCCCTGCCCATCTCTGAGATCCTTAAGGATTCATTTGCCACCCCCAGGGGACAGAGGCAGCCAGGGCAAGGACAGATGTCCACAGCACAGAGGGGCCTCGCAGGACTGCCACGTCTGCAGACAGAGGAACCCCGGCAGAGGAAATACAACAAACAAAGGCTCTAGAAACAAAGGCAGGATACATCTCAGGCTGGAAGGCCCTTATTGGGCTAGGACAATGGCTCTTCCCTGTGCTGGGGGCCAGGCCGGGGGGTCGGCCTGCTGAGACCCAGGGAGGCCGAGTGGGGTCAGGGGAGCTTGGGACTCTATCCAGCACTGATTTAGGGGTTCCATGACCTTGGGTGAGTCACTTACCCTCCCTAGTCTCAGCGTCTATAAATGCAGACACCACTGACCCCACAGGAGAGTAGGTAAGAGGAGGGAAGGGAGTTCGGGGCAAGGGGCCTATCTCAGAGCGGAAACTCAGATGTTCCTTTCAGCAGAAAGTCCTGAAACATTGTATTAAATTGATAACTGCTAAGTTGCCAAAGCAACCACAATCGTGTAGGGAGCTGCCATCAGATAGACGCTAAAAAAACAAAAAGGTCTGAGAGAAATCTACCCCTGACTACGCCTTTCCTTACAGATTACAGATTGGAACGAGGGAGGGAGACACGCTCACAACTGTTTCAGCGGCAGAACGCCCTGGCACATTCAGCTTTTGGGTCACAGCATTTGAAAACCGCTGGGCCAGGGAGACGCAGTTCAGAGGCGGGTCCAGACACACAAGGGTGGGACAGCTGCAGCCCGCGAACATGGCTCATCCGCCCCCCACCCCAAGGAACAGTCTCAGGCCCAGAAACACATCTGCTCCCTCAGGACCCAAGATGTGAGACCCACATCCCAGTCACCTCGACTCAGGGGCACACAGGGAGGAGAGGACAGAACTGTGAAAGCCAGGGTGGACAGCATCACGCACCCCGAACCCCAAGGCAGGATGCGAGTCCCACGAGTGAGTACTTCTCAAAGGGGACAGCCTATCATACTGGTTCTCAAATGATTCCACCCTGCTGAGGACACATGTCAATGTCTGGAGACAGTTTTGGTTGTCATGACTAAGGCTGCCCCTGGCATGGGTGGGTGGAGGCCAGGGACATTGCTCAGCACCCTGAAGTGTCCAGGACAGCCCCACCTCAGAGAGTGACCCAGCCCCAGAGTCCACAGTGTGGAGGTTGATAACCGTCAACTTTGACATATTCTCAAAGAGGTCTAGGCCCCAAGCAGGTGACACCCGCTGATGCTGGGTGGCTGGGAAGGATCTGGAATTTGACTGGCAGGATGGGGTCCGCTTTGAGAGCCCAGTGGGCAGGCAGAAGCCTCCGGGAACCCTGAAGGACAAAGGGGCACGCCAGGGCAGGAGAGCCCCGATACCAAGCCAGAAATGTGGGTGTCATCCTCCACACCTCCCTCCACTGCCCAGATCCGATCCAAACCAATCCAATCTGTCAGCAGGGCCCGCAGGCCCTGCTTGTCTCCCTTCAAGCACCACCTGGTCGCCGCCTCTGTCACCTTTCACCTGGACCAGGGCAACAGCCTCCTGCCTTGCTGGCCACCCTGCTCCAGGACACCACTCCAGCAGCCAAACAACCTTTTCATGACACGAGTCCGATCACCACACCACCTCCCTTTGGGGTGCCCTGGGGGCTCCCACTGTTCTCAGCACAGAGATCAATCCCTCATCACAGCCACCCAGGCCTGCAGCCCAGTGCACAGTGACCTCTCCACACCCACTCTTCTCCCATCTGCCCCTCGCTCCCCATAGACTAGCTGACCTGCTCCCTTCTGCCTACTGGGGACCCCCTTCCCCAGCCCCACCAGACATCCTTGCCCGTCCCACCGACCCTTGAATCTCACTCCCAACGCTCTCAGAGTCCTCCAAAGTGGGTCAGGACCCCTCAAATGCATTCATGTCACCACGGCTTGTATTTACATGCTTAATAGGACTATCTCTCTACTACATACAAACTAGAAACTCTGTGAAGGCAGGACCAGCATTTGTTTTGCCTCAACAACCCTTTGCTAACGGAATGGGCGAATAGTAAACAGCAGAGTTAAGGGGAAAGATGCAGGAGGAAAAAATGAACCTCCAGGATCTGCCTGATTTCACAGGGCAAAGGACAGTCTCCTCTTGGGCCACAAACAGCTGAACCTTCCCTGTGTCACTAATGGGTGCTGGACTACGTAGTGCACACCCAGATGCCTCACTCACTGGGGCCACACCCCTGGCACCCTGAACCCCATCGATCCCGTCCACAAGCATAGAATTGGGCACCCGTCTCCTGGGCCTGTGCTGCGGGCGAGCACTGTTGTGAGGACCAAAAAGCAACTGAGCAACCGAAACACAGCAAGATGACCTACATATAGTCGACTTTGATAGCACCGCACCCAACCGGTCAGGGTGGCAGAGCTGCCTGGGGGAAGGCGCAGTCTGAAGGATGTAGAGAAAATGGGCAGGTGACAGGGGATGGGACAGAGGGAAGCGAACAGGAAAAACCCCAAAGGTGACAGAGTGTTCCAGGAACTGCAGGCCAGAGCAGAACCCGGGAGGAAGAGGTGAGCAGAAGAGTCCCAGAGGGCGCCAGGGCCGGGTCAGGTCGCGCTCCCTGACTGTGGACTTCATCCTGGGGCAAACAGGGAGCCACGGAGGAATCCTGAGCCGGAAGTGGGCAGCGCAGGTTAAGGGCTTTGGGATGATCTCCGGCTGCATCCTGGACAACGCGCTGGAGCGGACGCCAGGAAGCCTACCCAGGTGTCCCAACCGGCAGGAAGATGCCTGCCTGGGGCAGAGGCGTCTGGGAGCTGATTAGGAAGCGGTCTCGGTCGCCGCTGGCTCCAGGGAGGGAGCCCAGTGCCGGGCTGGGGGCAGGTTCAGGGGCAGAGCCCGCGGCTCGGGCAGGGCGCTCCCTGAAGAGGTGGGGTGCGTCCCCGGCGAGGTGGGCGCTCAGCCTACGCCGCAGGGCTGAAAGGACGCGGGACAGACCTTCGCCCGAGTCAGAGACGCTACCCTGCGGTCCCCGCCCCTGGCCCGGGGTCCTCGGGGAGGATCCGTGGCCGCCCGGACAGGGCGAGGGGTCTCCGGGACGCTCCACCGGGCTGCCCGGGCCTCGCGGCCAGGCCTGGCTCCCCAAACGGCCGCGGACGGCACCGAGGCCACCCTGCGCCGCCGCGCCCGCCCCTGCCCGGCACTCACCGCCCCGGCCCGCGCCCCCCGGCCCCAGGGCCGCGCTCCATGGCTCCTGGCCGCCCGCCCGTGCGTCCGTCGGTCCCTCCGCGCCCCTGCCCGGCCTCCTGCGCCGCCGCCGCCGCCGCTCCCCCGCGGGCGGAAGTGAGCCTCGTTCCCGCCACCGCCCCGGAAGTGACGCGCCAGCACGCGCGGGGGCAGGAGGCGCCCTCCGATGGCGCAGCGCGCGCCCTGGGCGAGGGCGAGGGTTGGGGAGGGGCTGGCGTGCCGTGGGCGGGGCCTGGCGGGGCGGGGCCCGAGCTCCCGGTTCATTCATTTCCTAGTTCTTTCACTCATATTCGGACAGTCTATGCTGAGGCGAGTGCGGTACTCGCCTTGGAAGCAAAATTTACAGGGACGCCAAAAAGTTCAGGCAGCAAAATAAAAAATATTTTCAAATACATTATTTTTATTTAACAACTCATAACATATATTAAATGCATTATTTAAAAAAATTTGGCAACCTAGGGCCCACAGGCTGGCTACCTGTCTTTACAAATAAAGTTCTGTTGAAACCAAGGCCCTGACTGCTGTGGTGAGGCGAGCGAGACGAGATAGCACAAGTGCAGAGTTGGATCTTGTCTTTACGTAAAATCTTGATATATTGTGCACCATGGATTCTTTCGTATTATTTTTTTCTTTTTTAGACAGAGCCTCACTCTGTCGCCCAGGCTGGAGTGCAGTGGTGTTGTCATAGCTCACTGCAGCCTCCAACTCCTAGGCTCAAGTGATCGTCCTGCCTCAGCCTCCCAAGTAGCTGGCACTACAGGCGCCACCACGCCTGGCTAATTTTTCTATTTTCAGTAGAGACGGGGTCTCGCTCTTGTTCAGGCTGGTCTTGAATTCCTGAGCTCAAGTGATCCTCTGCCTCAGCCTCCCAGAGTGCTGAGATTACAGCATGAGTCACTGCGCCCGGCCCATTCATTCTATTGCATTAAAATATTAATATTATTAATCAAAGTGGCTGAGATTGTGGGGCATCCCTTACATTTTGTGGCTGATTTCACTGCATGTCTGTTCATACCCCTGGTGCCTGCTGGCTAAGCTCTCAACCGTAGGGAGGGGTCCTTACACAATGAAGAAAGAGATCTGATAAGGAATGAAGGGAGAAGACAACCACAGAATCTCAGAGACAGAGTGATCAGGATCAGCCCTTCTGTGGAGGAGCCAGGCACAGAGGCAGAAAAGGCTGCAGAGACCAACCGTGCTGAGCCTGGAGGTGTGAGTGAGAGTTAGTTGGAGACCTTTGCCCTTCCAGGCCTGCACCCTGTTGCAAAACGCTCCTCCACCCCGCAGGCAGCCTCAACCCTTCTCCCTCCCAGGGGCTCTCATCGGTAGCTCCATGTTATGGAGATATGGAGACAGGCTTGAGGCTCCCAGGCCAATCCTCCTCCGTCACCGCATGACAGCCCCAGGGAGACCCAGGCAGCTGAGTACCCAGCACTGGGGGCCAGAGATCTGGGAAGCTGGAAAATGAGGAAAAACAAGCCCAGGCAGTGTCCAGTCCTGAGCCTGAATCCTTTTCTGGCAGCTCTGTCCTGATTTGGCAGGAATGGGGCCCTGAGGGAGGATTGGCAGGAACCTAACTCAATTTTTGTCCCCCAAATAATCGGCACATGGCTTTTTAACTTCGGCACTGCTGACATTTGGGGTGTGATCGATTATCCTTTCTGGTGGAGCTTGTGTGGAGCCAGGAGCCAGCTTGTGTGGACATTCTGGGAATTGCTTAAATAACAGCAGCTGCTTCTAGCATCTGACCCATAGGTAGCCCCGGATCGGGGCAAGGCTGCCTTTGGTCGGTAGGTGGCAATATTGCCTGCTTGACATTTGCAGGGTCTGGGAGGCAGGTGCGGGGCTCCCCAGGGTCCAGCGCGGGAAATCTCATCTGTCTTGGCAAGATAGCAGCAGCCGTAACAGTCCATGTGCACACACCGAGCACGCACCCTGGGCCAGATTATGGGACTGAAATATTAATCATCATTAATTATTGCCATTAGTCTCAGCGTCTGGGACCTGGGCAAGTAGAGAAACAGGAGGGCTAAAACTGTGTGCAAATAAGACTTAAAGAGCTGTGAGCAAAGAGGTTGGGTTTTGGAGCTTTTCCAAGCTTGAAATTAATATTTTCCGCTGCCAGATGGGGGTGGCTGGTGTGTGCCTGTGTGCACACGTGTGTCACACGGGCATGGAGTCCTCTTTGACTCTGAGTAGGCAGACGGGGGATTCATTTATCGACATAGCCGCCGGGGACAGCAGTGTCCTATAACCCCCAAGACAAAGGAGACAGTGACTTTCCCCTCCTTGTCAGGATTTACCGGATTTTGCTCAGCGCTGCCGGGGCAGCTGAAGGAAGTCCCTCCAGCCTGTTTCCAGGAAGACCCTGAGCTGGAGTCAGCACAGAAGTGGGAAACAGCTGAGCCCATCAAACTGCCTGTAGTGGCGTCAGAAAGTCAACAGGGTGATGCACCACACAGACACCCGCCACACAACGTGACACCAGGAAAGCCGACTTTGGCCTCAAAAAAAAAAAAAAAAAA